CAGAACTCAATTTATGATTTCCTGTGAGGTTATTATGTCATGTCTCACATTACAAAACCCAGTACTATTTAAAATATGACATAATGGTGATCTGTGGTCTGTAGGCCAGTCATTTCATACATATCATTTCCAAATTTTGTATTCTTGACATATGTGCCCAACTATGAGTCCCTAAAACTCCAAGGGGCCCCAACACTGCATGAATAATTAAAAGAATAAATGTTACCCATTATTTAGTGAAAAATAAACCTGAAAGACACTGCATTGAGTTACAATATGCCTAGGCACTTTTATGTTTTTTCCAACATTTAAAAAATTAATCTGCAAAGCAATATACAGATTCAATGCAATCTCCATCCAAATGCCAATCGAATTCCTCACAAATTTAGAAAAAAAAAACAATTTTTAAATTCATTTGCAAGAATAAGAGGCCTAGAATAGCCAAAGCAATACTAAGCAAGGAAAGGAAAGCAGGAGGCATCACACTGCCTGATCTGAAATTATATACAGAGCTTTAGTGACAGAAACAGCATGATAATGGCATCAAGATAGATATGAAAACCAAAAGAATACAGCAGAAGACACAGAGACAAATCCACATACGATAGCCATCTGATATTTGACAAAGGTGCCAAAAATATATCTTGGAGAAAAGAAAGCATTTTTTAACAAATTAGTGCCGAGAAAACTGGATAGGTATATGAAGAAAAATGAAATTAGACCCCTATCTCTCACCCTGCACAAAAGTCAAATTGTAATGGATCAAAGACTTAGGAATTAAACCAGAAACTGTACAACTGCTAGAAGAAAATACAGGATCAACACTCCAACATATAGGTGTTGGCACTAACTTCCTTAACAAAACTCCTAAAGCTCAAGAAATAAAACCAAGAATCAATAAGTGGTATGCCACTCAACTAAAAAGCTTCTACACAGCAAAGGAATAAGAGCATGAGGACAGCCTACAGAATGGAAAAAAATCTTGGCCAACTACTGCTCCAATAGGGGATTGATATCCAGAATATACAAAGAACTCAAAAACTTAACACCAAATAATAATAATAATAACCCAGTCAATAAATGGGCAAAAGAACTAAACAGAAACTTCTCAAAAGAAACACAAATGGATGTGTAGCTAATAATTAAAAAAAAAAGAAATACAAATGGTCAGTAAGTATATGCAAAATGTTTAACATTTCTAGCAATCAGAGAAATGCAAATCAAAACTACACTAAGAAAGCGTCTAGTCAGAATGGCAATAATCAAGAATATGAACAAAAATAAATGCTGATGAGGTTTTGGGGGAAAAGTTACACTTAAACAATCCTGGTGGGACTGCAGAATAGTACAACCAATCTTGAAAGGAGTATAGAGATTCCTCAAAAAACTAGGGATGGAATCACCACCTGAACCAGCTATAACACTCCTTGGTATTTTCCCAAAAGATCTAAAATCAGCATACTATAGTGAGACAGACACATCAATGTTTATAGCAGCACAATGAGGAGAGGAAAAAGAGCTGTAATTATTTTTTTAAATATTTATGTTTAGTTGTAGTTGGATACGATACCTTTATTTTATTTATTTATTTTTATGTGGTGCTGAGGATTGAACCTAGGACCTCACATGTGCTAGGCAAACACTCTACCACTGAACCACAACCCCAGCCCAAGACCTGTAATTATTGTGATAGCTAAATTATGGAATCAACTCAAATGTCTGTCAATAGATGATGGATTAAGAAATTGTGATACACACACACACACACACACACACACTGGGATTCTACTCAGAAAATAATAATAATAATAATGAAATTACAGCATGTGCTAGCAAATGGATGGAAATGGAGAATATCATGCTAAGTGAAATTAGCCAAACTCAGAAACTCAAAGGTTGAGTGTTTTCTCTCATGTGCAGAAGATAGAGTACAATAAAGGAAAAGGGGAGGGAAGAGTAGGATAACATAAAGAACCATCAAATATAAATTAATATTTGAGTGAAAGACTAGTACAACAAAGGAAAGAGAATGGAAGAGGTAAGTAGGGACAGGAGGGAAAAGGGAGAAGGAAAGAGGGTTATCATGAACTGAAACTGATTTCCATGCATGTATGAGTTTGTTGGGATGAACCCAATAACTATGTATAACTATAAAGCTCTAATTTAAAAAAAATAAACATAAATAAAATAAAATAAATTACTCTGTTATTTCCAAGTATGAGTTAGGACTGGGTAAAATCAAACATTTCTGGAAATCCTATCAATTCTTTCAAGTCATTACAAATCATCACTAAGTAGTCAATAACAAGGTGATTTGAAAATTTTTAATGAACCTATGTACTCAAAAAAGCTTGCTTCATATCAGTAAAAATTATCCTCCACAATTTTGACTGTAACAAGCATATAGAAAATGAGTATCTCTAGTAATTAACAAAAATAAAAGAAGAAAAGAAATTGATATTATAACCCCTATCTAATAGCTCAGTTATAACAGCTGAGAGTTTCTAATTTACAGGCACTTTGTCAGACCCTCTAAATTATCTAATTTTCTATTCACAATAACTTCATAAAGTAGGTACAACCCCTACTTTTCAGATAGAAAACTGAGGCTCATTAAAGTGAGATAATTTGCTAAATATTACATAGCTACCAATCAAAGAAACAGGGAATCAAACCCAAAGAATATAACTTCTGAACCTGCTCTTAGAGACCATGTGTGCAAAAGAACAAATGGCGAGATGTAATCATGAAGTGAAATCATAACTTTAAAATTGCAATCCAGGTTGAAAATTTTACATAGGAGAAATTCCTAATTTCCAGTTTCTAATTTTGAAACCTGTATAAAATGGTTCTTAAGTTTTTTTCCTAAAAGTATTTATATGACAATTTGTCTAGTCATTTAAATTATCAATATCATGGAGGAACAGACATGAAAATGTCTAATATAAAAGAAAGTAACAGTCCTTGGGAGCAGGGGGTTCTTAATTAGAACAAACTGACCAAAAGTATTTTTGGCAAAACTGGGAATTGATGACTGAATTTAAGATTACCATTTGTGTGAATTATTCATATTAGAGGTTGATGGTGCTGCATTATGAAAGTTTTTAGTAATAAATGCTGGAATAATAGAGATTAATTATCATGATTTTTGTAATTTACATTACAATACTTCAACAATCCATTAAGAACATGGAAAATGTTAACAATTGTAACATTTTACTTTGCTCTTTGCCTTTCAGGATGTGTGAATTCAAAAAGTAGTCAAAATTTTTCAAATTTCTCCTATTAAACAATTTAATGTTCATTTCTCAATTTTTAAGAAATTGTACTTTTACTAGTATTTGACACTGTGTTTGTTTTGTTTTCCTAATTCTCTGACCTTTGCTAATTTGTACTGATTGATAGACGGAAAACGGTGTTCTGTCACATTAACTATCAGAAGGCAATCACTGTTTACCTAGACCAAAAGGAAACTGGAAGATCTGTTCCTGCTTGGAAGCTTGGGCCATGGTTATTGGTATCTCAATTAGTGTCATCAATCACTATCATGCTTCTCATCAATCAAGTATATTATTCATTGAGACTCTCCCATTGTCACCATCTTCATCAGGAAGAAGTGGATGCACAAAGGACCATTGTCAACCCCATAAAATTCAACTATTCTTTCTTTGTCTTTAAAAGCAAGTTCCTTGACAGAAATGACCTTATCCTAAATCCAATAAATTTCCTAAATCTAAAAAATCTAAACAAGAGAGTTATAAAACCTGAAAATTCTCTTTGCTTTGTCCCTTTGCTTCCAGTTACCATCCTGAAAGGATCATCTGAAGGCAAGGAATTGGATTGAACATCCTGAGGAGAAAGTTTCACACAATATCAGGTATGTGGGGATATATTCCAATGTAAAATAAGCCACTTTCAAGTTACATATTTTCATTGAGTAATAACAATAATTGGTCTAATACAGTTATTCCCCTCCCCTCTTGTGAACTGCTAAACTAAGTGATAACAGATCCAACTTGTCTATTAATAGATGAAAATATGATTAATGGGAACATTTTTAAAGCTGACAAGCTGATATGTACACACTGTGCTCATGATCACAATAAGAAAAATAAAAGGTCACATCCTTCCTTTTATCTTTCCTCCTACAACCTATTGCCAAAAGTACAGTTACCTTCGGAAGCAGTTATTCAAACAATATTTTAAGACTGTACTATGTATTAGACATGATTACATAAAAATTAATAAAACAAAGTTATCTTGTCCTTTGGGCATTTATAAAAAGGGCATCAAATGGCAAAACTTTCAGGAGAATAATGCTTGAAGAAAAGTGTGTTTGGGGCTGGGGATGTGGCTCAAGCTGTAGCGTGCTCGCCTGGCATGCGTTCGGCCCAGGTTTGATCCTCAGCACCACATACAAACAAAGATGTTGTGTCCACCGAGAACTAAAAAATAAATATTAAAAATTCTCTCTTCTCTCTCTCTCTCTTTAAAAAAAAGTGTGTTTTATATGGTTTTTTGTTCTAATAGCCTCATACCACAGAGTCAAGGAACATCTTTGCAAAGAAGAACATTCCAAAGAACATTTATAAAACTATGTTTAGTAAAAACCAAATAGTTTATATGGCTCTCTAAACAAGATTTCTTGACTCATTATAGAAATAAGAAAACTATTTCCTTCTCTTATTGCTAAACTTACTAAGATCCTGACTTTCCTAGGTGATCTCTATTATCAATAGAAAAGATCTATGCTGCAAATTAGTGATAAGAATAATTCTTTTGTCTCTCCTCCAATGCTTCCTCTCTCAAAGAATGCATTTTAGACTTAAAGCAATTTTGCCTCACCACTCTGGAGTAAAAATATATATGTAATTTTCAGAAACCACTGATCTACATTCTAATAATATAAGTCATTTAACAAAGTTCACCCTTCTTTCACAATGTTATAGCTAACACTGAACCCAGACTTTTCTGCTTTTCCCAGGAGCCAGTAAAAAAAGATGAAAACTCTATCACTGCTTGTATGCATCTTTGTGCTGAGTGCTTGCTTCCCAGTAAGTATCACCTCATGTGTCAATAACAAATATTTAGTGTGTAGATTTAATAGAGATTTCAAGAGTTACAGTTAGATAGGACCAAGAAGTTCTGGCATGCTGTTGCACAATGAAGGTGACTCTAGATAACAATTATGTACTACTTATTTCAAAAAGCTACAGGAAAGGATTTTGAATGTTTCCACCACAAAGAAATAACAAATGTTTGAGGAGACAAATATATTTACCTCAATTTAAATAATAATTGATGTACACACATATTAAGATATCAATATTGCATAGTACCCATTAATATGTACATTTTTTATTCTTTCTTTTAATTTTTTATTTGTTTTAATTAGTTATACATGACAGTAGAATGCACTTTGGTACATCATATATAATAGAGTATAATTTCTCATTCTTCTGGTTATACATGATGTAGAATCCCACCAGTCATAGGGTAATAATGTCTGATTCATTCTATTTTCCTTCCTGCCCCCATACTCTCTCCCTCTCTTCACTCCCCTCTATCTAATATTAAAGTAACTGTATTCTTCCCTAACCCCCTCCCCACAATATGTACAATTTTTATACTTTTATGTGTCAGATAAAATAAATAATAAATAAAGTGAAATGAAAGAAATTTTTAAAAAGTGTTACAGGCAATTTATATGTCCAAAAGATCAAAATATATTGTTTTCTGTGAAACAAAAGAAAATATTTCAATTAAACACAAGGAAACAATTTCTTTTCATCAATATCTATAGAGTACCAACTGTATAATGTATGTGGTAAGCTCTTTCAGAGATGCAGAAAACAGATCTTACAGGCCTTTAGGCCTTGATGTGGAATATGGTTTTTTTTTTTTTTAAGTATGTCAGGAAACCTTGAGATGATACTCCCAGAGTAGTTACATGACTCAGGATTCTAGGGAGAAAACAGATGGCAGGGGACAAAAATTGAGATTAAGAGACTAGTCAGGAAGATATGGTAGCGGTCCAGATAAAAGACAATGGAGATTTGCACTAACTATCAGCACTTAATATAAAAGATGAGGGTATATTTAGATATATTTTGGTAATTGATTCTACTGTACCTTCTGATGGATTAGGTATGTGGTAAAAGAAAGAAATGATCAAGGAGTCCTCTTTTAGACATGTTAAATTAAAAAATGGCTATTAGACTTCTATATTAAGATGTCAAGAAGGCACTTGGATATACATTTTATGAATTTCAGAGATAAACCAAAGGTAAAGTCCATAGTTTAAATATATTTAAAGTTATAAAATCCTACAAGATCACCTAGGGAGAAATTATAGGAATTTTGGAATGGATAGAGAAAATGAAGGAACCACAAAATGGGACAGGAATGTATGGTTTCCAAAACTAAAAGAAGAATACAAAGTGGACCCTGTCTTTAAGACATTTAGAATCCACAGTGAAAGCAAGATTAAAATTAATAATGATCCCTGGTGATATATTCTATAATAATAACCATAATTCTCTCTATCTATCTATCTATCTTTGTGTGTGTGTGTGTGTGCGTGTGTGTGTGTGTGGTGCTGGGGATTGAACCCAGGGCCTTGTGCAAGTGAGGCAAACACTGTCCCAACAGAGCTATATCTCTAGCCCTAACCATATTTCTATCTAATCTACTTTTAAGTAGATTAAAATATTTACTGTGTGTTTATTTACTGAATAAAGTAGGAAAACCCCCAGAATATTATGATGGTAGTAAAAATATAGAGAAGGGAGGGGAACTGGTAGAGTGGGTAAAATTTACTCTTGGATAATCTCATAATTCCCATTTATCACATAATTCTCTTCCCCCACCCAAAACCTTCTTAATCTTTTCCCCTAAATCCTAATGCTAATTTCTGTAATTATAACAGAAAGAGTGTTCAACTGGGCTCAGAAATGTCAAATTAAGCTCATGTCTAAACTGACCATCCAGATTAATCTTCAGCAATTTAAAATCTGTTTATAGAGCTCCAGTTTCCCTATGTACAAAATATTAATAACAGAATATGCTTTAAATATAAAATAATATGATCTCTTCTTATATACTAGTTGATAAGGCTATAAAGTCTGAATATGCACAATTATATCCACTTTTTGATAAGTTTGCTTTTAATAAGAAACTCCTAGATATCAAATATTTCTATATTAAAAGAAATGGTGGAACTCCAATCAACACAAATCATTATTTTATTGTAGAATGACAAAATCTGGGTTGTTATTTTGAGGAGGCCCTTTCTGGTGCTTCCCACAAATCCAAATACCTAATGAATCATCCTTTTCCCAAGCTCAGGTTAAATAAAACTCTTCAAACTGTCCAAATATCAAAAAGTTTATAGAGAAGGAGTTTCCAAATAACTTGAATATATAAAAAGGTAGCACAGAATTGATTTGTTGAATCCTCAGAATATACAGGGATGTAGCAGAAGTGACAGCAACCCACAGCCAAAGATCAGCCCAAAGTTCTAGCAACAAATGACATGTGGAATGATTTCAGGGAGTGGATAATGTGGCTCCTCTTTTCCAGATGCCTCAAAGAAAGATTGAGGGGATATATTCTGGAGTCTGTTATATATAACACTTAATATACTGCTTCCTTCGTCACTAGAAATTGATTACAGGTTTTCAAATGGCCATAAAAATAGGCTATTAACATCAAATGCAGAAATTTAATGTGCTTTCTAGTTTCCAGTATATGTCATCTTGACCTTGCGCTCATCTATTCCCCTTCCATTCTGAATCTTTTTCTTTCATGACTAATTTTTGCCTCCTTTTCCTTTCTTAGAAGAGTTTGCATTACTCCTGTTATTTTAAGAATCTGCTGCTTCCTCACTCCTTCTGGCTCCAAGTGTCATGTGTCTGTCTCCCTTCCCCCGTCCCTTGAGTGCACCTAACTCTCTACCTCCTCTCATTTTCTCCCACTCCTCTGCCATTAAAAATGTGGTTTGCATACAGAGACACATTCTCTTAACTTAATTTCTCTGGAACTCAGTTTCCTCATCTATATAATAAGGATGTAGATAAGGATCTAAATAAACTTGCATTTGGAATTGGGCCTGACAAAAAGTTAAGTGTTATATATGAGGATTTTTAATAAAAGTAAATCACAGATAGAAACAGGCAGTTAAAGATCAATATAGTTAGTGTGTTCTTCCTAGCACATATATACTTACTATAAATGCCTGTACACTTCAGTCATCAAATTTCCCTAGATTCAATTCAAATTAACAAGTTCCATCTATTATGGCTATCTGTAACTAACAGTAATAATTGATTAATAATAATTAATATATTTTAAGTAAATAAGTCAAACTGGTCATTTGACACAGGTTCTATAGTAAATTAACATAATTTATGGTATTTTAATTAATTTGCTTTCATCTAAAAATGCCATAGGTATTATTTGGTCACCTAAAATAAAATAGCTGAAACTATTTTACAATGTAAGTAAAATACTATTAAATGCTAAGATTTTATTCAAAAAGAAATTATTTATTTATTAGTCATTATCAATTTTATGAGTTCCTTCATTCAATAAATATCTAGTGAGTATCTGCCATTTGCCTACCGTCCATTGTTCTAGGAATTGGGCATACAGAGATGACAAAACAAAATCCTTCCCTCATGAAGCAGACCATCTAAAAACAAAATTAACAGCATAAATATTTCAAAGTATTGAGGTCATAGAATTAGACTTGGGTATGAAATTTAATTTGAATTGTTTCACAAATGAGTAAACAAAGATCTAATCAGATTAAGTGACTTATCTAGTCAGTTATTTAAGGGTGGGCACAAGACAGATCCAAACTTTGGCAATATGTTTCAAACATGCTCCTCCAAGACCTGGGCATTCTTCTTAGTGATCACTTGAAAGGGGGAGAGTGAGCTAGTGAAATGTGGGGCTGGGTGAAATTAGCAAACTAATCAATCACTCGATCTACTGGTTATCCAGTCTCTAATCCTAAAACTTCACAAATACTGCTTATTCTATGGTCAACAATGAAACTTTATTTGATAGATCAATGGACTTTTTAACTTTTTGCACTTTCTTTTCTGTAGTTCAGTGAAAGTGGAAGAAAGAATCGCAAATCACATCACAAAAAACATATTCAACAGTCACCTAAACTTCACAAATTACCACATTGTTCTGAATTACCATCCCACCAGAATCAACTCAGTAAAAAGTATTACCATGTTCTTCTACACAAATTATCTAAGCATAGGCCTGAACATTCATATACTAAGTGTTCAGTCAAAAATAACACTGTGGTCAACAATAACAATTCAGAGATCACCACCCAAGTACCATCTTTGAATTCCATATCTCCTTCCATCAAAATTACTACCAATTCAGGTGTGAGACCTCCCACTCAGAATGCTGTTATTACATTTGCAAGAGAAAATATCATGACTGGCTCTTCTGTAGCTACATCAACATCACAACCTTCTTCAGCTCTGCCAGATACCACAGCTTCCCCACCTACATCTTTCCCAGCTACAACTCCACAACCTTCTTCAGCTCTGCAAGAGACCACAGCTGCCCAACCTACATCATTCCAAGCTACATCAACACCACAACCTTCTTCAGCTCTGCAAGAGTCCACAGCTGCCCAACCTACATCATTCCAAGCTACATCAACACCACAACCTTCTTCAGCTCTGCAAGAGACCACAGCTGCCCAACCTACATCATTCCAAGCTACATCAACACCACAACCTTCTTCAGCTCTGCAAGAGACCACAGCTGCCCAACCTACATCATTCCAAGCTACATCAACACCACAACCTTCTTCAGCTCTGCCAGAGGCCACAGCTGCCTCACCTACATCTTTCCCAGCTACACCAACACCACAACCTTCTTCACCTCTGCCAGAGACCACAGCTGCCCCACCTACATCTTTCCCAGCTACAACTCCACAACCTTCTTCATCTCTTCAAGAGACCACAGCTGCCCAACCTACATCATTCCCAGCTGCAACAACACCACAACCTTCTTCAGCTTCACCAGAGATCACAGAAGTCTCACATGCCACACCTAATTCTTCCCCAGACACTGTTGCACCTGAAACTTCTGAAACTACAGCTGCACCAGTACCCCAAACTACTCCTCCAACCACTAGTCAAACTGTTACTGTCACACAACCAACTTCATCTCCCAGTCAAAATATATATCTTCAATTTCTTGCAGGCTTACGATATTGGTTTAATAGAATTTTTGATCATTTAGAAAGGATTCAGTAGTACATTATACATTGTGAAGTGTTCTATCAATTATAAAACATGATTTATGAGTACAGAACTTTCATCTTTAATTTTACCATGAATCCCAAAATGAATTTATAATATTACTTAAATTCTAACTATTATCACTAATCCTTGAATCAAACTATTTTTCCACATGACCTATTAATGTCACAAACCACCTCTATCTCATAAACCAATTGCATATCTAGGATTCAAGATCACATTTTAGGACCTACTGAGGGAACAGAAAAATCTTTAGATAAAAAGGACAAATTGTGTAGGTCATCTACCATTCACTCCCCTAAATGTTGGAAACTACAATCATTACTTTGTACCACCAACCATGAATAGATAAAACTCTTTCTACCTGAACAAAACATCTAAATATCAATATATTGATACATATATGATTTATCTTTATATCTATCTTTTATATTTCCATCTATATTCATCTATCTATACAGACTTATTATATTGCCAATTAAGGACTAAATCCTTTACACAATCATTATAAGTTTTAAATAAAATTTCACTCCGCAAAATGTGAGCTAGGAAAAGGGAAAGATTTGAAAAGAATGAAAAATGAAATCTGGCAGCCAAGCACAAACCAACACTCCAACACTTCATTTTTAAGAGCATGTAATTGTTTAAGCCTTATGATTGACACTGTCTGTATTACATCTAATTTAATTTAGATCTAAGGTATTTGATTCTAGCTTCAGTGAACCACAGAAGAGTGTGTTGTATATACACAAGTGACATATAAAAATTTACTATTAATTCAATTAATTTACATTAAGTCAATATAAGATGTGCTTGACAGTAGAATTTTTTTTAATTTAGTCACACATTTGAATGTGTTTAAAAGTAAACCTTACTGCCCTAGTGCCAAGTTTACAAAATTGTCTCTGAAAATAAACCCTAACTTTAGTTGGCAGAAGAATAAAAATCACATGCTTGGAATATAGAGATAATGTTAACTTGGGACATAGAGTTATTTTTATTTTCTGTCACTACAACTAAGAAATCTGGTGATTGTATTTAGATTTTTTGCTCATTAATAAAGACGTCACATGGCAATTATTTTCATTGTGTATATTTGAAAGTTTTTCGTCTTCCTTAGGCTCTGAGACTGGTGAAAAGAGGTCTAAAGAAAAATTTACATTCTCGTCAACTCTTGCACTAATAAGCCAAATGACCTGGGTCCTCAATATCTCTGAATAGAAAGTGTTTTCCATTCTTCAAACAAAGTGGTTAATATACTTACATTAACTTTATTTTAGTTATTTATGTATGTTTTCAATACAAATTTTGTGTTTATCCTATGCTTTTCTCTCCAACGAATAAAGACCTCATACCTCTTGCTTACCTCTGTTCTTTCCAGGATCATTTTGGAGCAGTTTTATGACATTTGGGATTATTTAAAATAAGAATAGCAACTAGTTCTTTCCATGGGAATATTTCTTGGTTTTAGAAATGGCCAAGATATGCCTTCTTGAGGCTGAAGCCTACATCAGTATCACTATAAACTAAAATATATGAGTTGGAATTCTAAGTATATGGAATGAAATGGAAGAAGTGAAATGGATTGGAATGGAATGGAATAAAGTATTCATAACATTATCCTCAATGAGGACTTTCTACATTACAACAAACATAAAATTCCCTTGCCTTGAGCAATATTAGAGAAAGCAAAGGGAAATTAACTGGTGTAAACCTACAACAAAAGTGAATTATTTGGTTTAATAATTTATTACTATTGACTTTTGCATATGATTATCTGTTTTATCAGTATAAAGAGAGGATTAAATAATTATGCAGTTTTCTTTTTTACTAATATAGCTTGTGATTAGTTAATAATAAGAGAACATCTATCAATTCAATACAAAAGGTAATATCTTAAGATTAAAATTGATATTAAAGCTATTTATGATAATCTATGCTGAGGTGGAGGCATCTCTTATTGAGTCTTCTCCATTGAGATTTCCTCAGAATTTGGGACTTATAGAAAGAAGATGCTAATCACTCCATGCCTTCACCTCTAAATTTACCTGGATATAGAGATAGTGATCTCACCAGATTACCACTGATACAATTTCAGGAGGCCCCCTTCAATCTTTGGTGGGTCCAAGTACCTACTAGTTTTCTGTTGAGTCAGAAGAGCTGGTCCCGAATTGTTTATTAGAAGTCAGGTTATTCCCTGTTAGGGATGCAGTCTTTTGTGCCTTCTGATAGGATAGAGTGTCATTTGGCCCTACTGAATAAAAGCTCCATGTATCCAGTGCTGTCAGATCTATTGTGAGCTCCCCCATGTATACTTCAGAGAATGCGTAGTGTGGCAATCTAAAGTAGAGGTATTATAGTCTGTTTGATGTGGTGCTGGGTGATCCATGAGAAGGGCTGTGTCCCCTCTAGAATAAATGAGTCATTTGTTGGTGAACTTGTATCTGAACATACAGGGTGGAGGCTGGTGTCTGTGGGATGGTCCTCTGTAAGCCACTTTTTGTGGCATACTGCGAATTGTGTATGTGTGAGATTCTCTGCTGGCTGCTTAGTTTTATTCTTGGGAATTGCCTTCTGTCAGTTGGTACATCTGAATTAGAATTGCATTAACTGGCAATTTCAGGACTCATAGCTGTAGACCATCCTAGAGGTGCTGGGACACATAAGCTACTTTCCTGATTGCTATGATTTTCTCATCAGCCAGCACTTGTTCCTCAGCCAAGAGGCCCAAGTCTGCATGCTTAAGGATGCTGCATCTGCTGGCTGTTTCTGTTGGCTATTTCCAACTGCTGTGGAACACTGAGCAAATGTTCCCCCTTGCAGGAGCTTCTTTATAGCAGCATAGAGCTTGGTAGCCATCTGCAGCTGTGGGGGTCTATGAATGCAGGCTTTCTGTGGATAGATTGTGGAACAGAAGACTCCACCCCAGCTGATATAGATTGCCAGGATACCATTCTGTGACTAGGATAGGGTGTTATTTGGCCCACCTTTGAGCCCCCATTGCTGGATGGCAGTTGTGAATCACTACGTGCTCACCCACCTCCACTGGAGCTTCTTTGTAGAGGCACTATCTAAGCACTTGGTGGCTGTCTGCAACTGTGGGGCCTGTGAATACAGGCTCACTGTAGGTAGTCTGTGGCTCAGAAGACTCCACTCTGGCTTCTGTGGATCATCAGGATTTTACGTATCATTGTAATAAGAGTAAGGTATCAGTTGTCTTCACCTGAGTTTTGACAGAAGTTGTGGAGAGTGCTGAGTTGAGGTTAGTACTCCACAGCAGTGATTTGTTCTTGCATGAGCTTTATCTCACTCCCCTTTACCACAGTGGTGGGGAGATGGTAGCAGCCTTCGGCTAATACAGATACTTCTATGAGTTCCTTCTAGGTATACTGAGACATGTTTGCACTCAGGTTTTATTTGTTACTAGCTGTAGGTGGGGAAAACCTGTATTAATTTAAATTTTCCTAGGGAGGCTTTCTAGCTGTGGATGCTACAAAATGGCTATCTTGTCCAGAACAGCTTTCTGCCCACATTTTGAGCTAAATTATGTCATCTCCTCCACTGTTTTTGCTGTTCTTGTCTTATTTTAACATGTTCTGCTCTTCTTTCCAACTGTTGTTAAAGAAGAAAGCTTATAGGCTCTTCTTATCCCTCTTTCTCTCTTTGTTACCCCTCCCCCAACCTTATCCTGATCAAAATTCAGGATCAAGGAAATTCATCTTTATTTTATGCTCAAGTAACCATGTTCCAAGTCCCTCCGAGTTTCAAGCTGTCAATATTGTGTTTTAAAAGTATTTATTCTGTCACCCACCTCTCTGGTCAGTTGTTCTTTCACTGCTTTATTTCTGAGCTTTGGAGAAATTGAGGGCTGCTGCTTAAATCCACTCCACCATCTTTCAGCTATCTGTACTTGCTTTCTGAATATGCCCCACTTACACTTTATTTTTCCCTGGATTGATGGGTGCCCAAACTATGAGTCCAGGCCCAGGAATGAGACTGTAACAAAAACTATTAGGAAGTTCTAGGTGATTGGAGATGGAGCTGCCAAATTATGAGTTTACAAAGTGGATAAAAGTTAAGGGCACTTCTATTGGAAATTGGTGGTCTGAACTCAGATCAGTAGTGCAGCTGACAGGGGACAGAATGGGGAACATATCAAGGTCCAGTGGAAAGTAGTAACCCTGCAACATTCTACCACAAGGTCTGTGTTACCTTTCCTATATTAAGAAGAATATGGAGGATAAATTAAAATGTCCCAGGTGGAGGTCTGTGCCTGCACGGGCTGGTGGCTCGGGGCGTGGGGCCCGGCGCCCGCAGCCATGGGGAATCCAGTTATCAAAATGACTCCAGAAGAACGAACCTGATAAACCAGTAACAATGGAAGAAATTGGGAAAGTTGCCAAAAAGCTAGCATCCCTCACACCACGAGGCTCATCTGGTGTCACAGGTTAAAAAAAATCCTTCATGAAGAAGAGAGACCTTAAGCAACATGATGGATTCAGAAGCTCATGAAAAGAGACCACCAACCCTTACATCTTCAAAACAAGACATCTCACCTCACATTACAAATGTTGGTGAGATGAAGCATTACTTGTGTAGAGGCTGCGCAGCTTTCAACAATGCAGCCATCACATTTCCCATTCAGAAGATCCTTTTTCGTCAGCAGCTCTATGGAATCAAAACCTGGGATGCAGTGCTTCAGTTGAGGAGGGATGGATTTAGAAACTTGTATCGTGGAATCCTTCGGCCATTAATGCAGAAAACCACCACCCTGGCACTTATGTTTGGTCTGCACGAGGATTTGTCTTCCCTTCTCCAAAAGCACGTCAGTGCCCCAGAGTTTGCAACCCGTGGCGTGGCGGCAGTACTTGCAGGGACAACAGAAGCCATTTTCACTCCATTGGAAAGAGTTCAGACATTGCTTCAAGACCACAAGCATCATGACAAGTTCACAAACACTTATCAGGCTTTCAGGGCACTGAAGTGCCAGGGAA